GCTGGGGATAAAGTCCTCTTATGCCCATCTTCTATTGGGGGTAGGTATGAGAGAGGCTGGATGCCATGGAGGGAAGAAATAGAGCCAAATAGGAATGTCTGCTTCAATGGGGAGATTGAATTAACCACACGCTCACTTTAAGGCAGCACAGCTTTAAGGGAGAAACTGTGGAAACGATAGACAACCGCAGGAACATGTACCTGGACTATATCTCCAGCTACAAGAGTGGCGGTCTTCCAGCCATGGGATACTAGTCTTCCAGATTCCCTCAGTACCAGTCAGGGAATAAGTCCTAGTTTTATTGCCCTACAGTGCTAGCATCACACATTTCCCCTTTCTGCATTATGTTTAAGATTTAATAGTGTCACGAAGGCAGCATGATCTCTCTTTATATCTCTTAGCTTCCTACAGAAGCGACATGAGACTGTGAGCATTAAAAATATGATGATAAGCAATACAGTCACACTGGAACTTAGGCTATGTGAGATACTTTGAGCCCAAGCTCGAGGATCCAACCCTTTCATGCCACTCACCAACTGCTTAATCACATCAGAGCCAGGAGATGCCTCCAGTCTGTCTTTGAATGTTTAGAAAATATCCTTTGTAAGCTGATAAACATTTAATGAAATGTTTCCCTTAAACCCTTGCAAATGTTTCCTAATCACATCCCAATCATGCAATGTCACATTACGTAGGTAAGGAGTTACACAAAAGTCAGTTACATTCCAATCACATTATAGCATTAATTAACAAGTCCAAAATCTTGATCTTTCAGCAAAACAACAGTTTGTAGTAATAGTCCAGTCATTATTGTATAAAATGTTGAGCTTTGATAGGGTCCCAGAGGCTCCCTTACACAGCGTCAGCAATGGAAGTAATATCTCAACAGTCAGTAGTTGCCATTCTCAGGAATCTGCGAGGTCTTCTTGACGTTTTGGATAGCTTCAGTAAGCAGAACAGAGTCAGGGCACGCATCAGCTTCCCTGCTTTCTACTGGGCCTTGCTGGCTGAAGAGAAATCCATCTATCTCCTTTACCTGTTAAAATATAAACACATAGCCCCTCTCTTCGGGGTGTCATTAACCTGAAAAGGGAATTATGATTAAGCTTTTGCGGTTCCTTTTTGTCCTTTATTTCCATCTTTCTCCGAACGTGTTTGCGTCCTTCTAAAGGGTGTCCACCAGCATTATTCTGCAAAAATATAAATGCATAGCCCTTTCTCCAGGTGAATGAACCTGGATCCCAAATGCGATTTCTATCTTCTTGGGACTTCTTAGGATCAGTTTTCTCTGTAGAAGTGAAAATGTGTTTATCTGCCCTAATTTTGTTATAAGCTTTTAGTAAGGAGGAAATTTTTTTTTGTTAAATTGACCAAATGAAATTCGTCATACATAAAATTCCTTTTATCCCCCTTCTGTTTTAACAATGTAGATTTCAAAGCACTGCTAGCAATCTCAGTTAACTTGCTAGGCTTTGACCCAGTATAACTACTAGTTAGGTAGCCTTCATTGCT